TTTTTCTTCCTTTGTTCAGGAGCCTCTGACCAGGGTTGCTACCAGTCAGCCATCTTCCCAGAATCCCTCGAAACTAGATTTCTATCTCTTACTATATACTATATAAAAAAATAAAAACTCAAAAATGGATTAAAGACTTCGATGAAAGGCCCCCAAACCATGAAACTGCTAAAAGGAAACACTGGAGAAATACTACAGGACATTGGTCTGGGCAAAGCTTTTTGGACATAGCTGGGCGTTGTGGTGGGCGCCTGTAGTCCTAGCTACTTGGGAGGCTGAGGAAAGAGAATAGCTTTAGCCCAGGAGTTTGAGGTTGCTGTGAACTATGATGCCACAACACTCTACCCAGTGAGACGACAAAGTGAGATTCTATCTCAAAAAAAAGTTTTTTTGGACAAGACCTCAAATGCACAGGCAACCAAAGCAAAAATGGACAAATGAGATCACATCTGGCTAAAATGCTTCTGTACAGTAAAGGAAACAAAATGAAGAGACAACCTATAGAATGGGAGAAAATTTCTGCATACTGTCCATCCAACAGGGGATTAATAATGAGCTTGTATAAGGAACTCAAAACAACTGAAATTGCATTATTTAGCAACACTAAATAATGCAATTTAAAAATAGGCAAAAGACCTAAACAGAGATGTCTCAAAAGAAGACATTCAAATGGCCAAAAGGTATATGAAAAAATGCTCAACATCATTAATTATCAGAGAAATGCAAATTAAAACCACAAGGAAATATCTCATCCCAGTGAAAATGGCTATTACCAAAAGACAAAAAATAACAGACGCTGGTGAGGACATAGAGAAAGGAGAATGCTTGTACACTGCTGGTGGGAATGTAAAGTGATATGGCCACTAAAGAAACCACATGGAGGTTCCTCAAAAAACTACAGACAGAACTACTGTATGATCCAACAATCCTGCTGCGGGGTGTACACCCCAACAAAGGAAATCAGTTTATGGTAGAGAGATCTGTGCTCCCATATTTATCATAGCACCATTCACAACAGCTAAGCTACAGAATCAAGTGCCCCTCAGCAGATGAATGGACAAAGAAAGTGGGGTATATATACACAAAAGATACTATTCAGCCATAAAAAGAATGAAATCATGTCATTTGCAGCAACATGGATGGAAATGGAGGTCATTGTGTTAAGTAACATAAGCTGACACAGAAAGACAAATATTGCATGTTCTCATTCACATATGGAAGCAAAAAAGTTGATCTCACAAAAAGAGAGTAGAACGGTGGCTACCAGAGGCTGGGGAGGGAAGAGAAGAGAAAGGGTGAAAAGAAGTTGGTTAAGAGGTATGCAAAGGAGTGGTGCCTGTGGCTCAGTGGGTAGGCCGCTGGCCCCATATACTGAGGGTGGTGGGTTTGAACCTGGCCCTGGCCAAACTGCAAAAAAAAAAAATAGCTGGGCATTGGGGTGGGCGTCTGTGGTCCCAGCTACTTGGGAGGCTGAGGCAAAAGAATCACCTAAGCCCAGGAGTTGGAGGTTGCTGTGAGCTGTGACGCCACAGCACTCTACTGAGGGTGATAGAGTGAGACTCTGTCTTTACAAAAAAAAAAAAAAAGAGGTACACAAATACAGTTAGAATAAGTTTAATGTTGCATAGTACAGTTTAAAAAATTATAGTTAATAATAAGCTATTATGTATTTCAAAATACCTAGAAAAGATTTGTAATGGTCCCAATACAAAGAAAAGACAAATGTTTAAGATGATGGCTATCCCAATTATCCTGATTTAATCATTATACATTGTAATAGATACAAAAATATCCTTTGTATCCCCAAACTATGTATAACACTAAATACCAATAAAAAAGAAAAAGAAATGAAAACATTCTCAATTTTGTTAAATAATTATTTAACTTCAGAAATGCCACTGATAAACGGTGGTCATTTAACTGCTTGTTCTCCTGCAGAAGCCATCATCTGCATAGGAACCAGCATTAGAAATCACGTGGTCTACTGCTGAAAACTCACAGCTTCTAAGAAACAATAAGAATTTGTGCTCAGAATGACTAGCCTCAAGGGGTCTCACAGGACATGAACCACAGCCACCTCATCTTTAACAAGAACCCCAAAAATCTCTTGTGCAGCTGAAATCCCATATACAGAGTGATTTCTGCTGTCTAGGTTATCTATGGTGGGGTAACTCCTAGATGCAATAATTTATTCATGATAGTTACATTCATTAAGGAAAAAGAAAAAAACCAATGATTCAAACTATTGATTTGTAACAACTCATATTTACTAAGCAACTAAAACTGCTGAAGTATAATGAAAGGTGATTTCATTATAGAAGCAACAGAGGGAATGAATTCAATTTGAATATTTCTAATAAAGAGAATAACGTAAGTAAAACCCAAAGACATGGAGACAGAAAGCTTTTGCTCATCAGAATTTAGAATGACAAGGACAGATGATGTTTTGATTCCATCAGAAACTGACACTAGGTAGTAAGATCCAGTTTGTATCAGTCCCTTTACTGGACTGATTTAAAGAAAAATGGGCCCAGAGACAGGGCATCACTGAACTGTCTTCCATATCATGGCCATTCACAGTCATCTCTTTCAGCATGAAATCCAGCTCAGCTATACTCAAATATTCTTTTTGTTTTACTAAAGTAAAGCATCAATGCTAATAGAATAGTTGAGAAAATGCTTTTTCCTCTTCTTTGAATAGAACCTCCAAAACAATTTTTCTGCTCAAACATGGTATCGTTTAATTAAATACATAAATTAGGAAAACAGCCTTTTTGAGAAAAACTGAGGAAGGCCCCCAAAATATCCTGAGTCTGAAGAAGTCCTCCTGAAGACTCTGAGTCTACCCAGCAAGAGGCAGAAGACTCTGGACAGTTTAGGTTAATGGCTTCCTCTCAATCAACTCTGCTCTCAGACTGGTCCTTTGGGAAATTTGTTTTCACTCTCTAGATGCTAATGTCTGAGGCCATAAATGGCAGGCCCAATCTACTCCAAATGATTGTTCCTTTAGGCTGACATGACTGCAATACATTAAAGGAATTCAAATATAGATTTAGAAAATACTCGTAAAGAAGAACACATAGATCTTGACCAGGGAAGTACAGCACAGGTTCTAAGTAGAATGTTCTAGGTCTTTGTCCAGGAACCCTAACTCCTGAAGCAGAATGCTCATCAGAGCTCAGACTCCAGCTCTAAAATGCTTTGGTAAATAAGAGAAGTACCTAAAACATGGATCAAATGAATCCATTGCTCCAGCCCCTCCCTCAGTCTTTTCTCCCCTTACTGTGTGCTCCTAATCCCTACTCTCTCACACGTTCTCAAACACTAAAGGGACTTTCAGTGCTGTTTTCAAAAGAAAAATTCCCTTAATCCTGACATAATATTGGCAGTAGAGACAGCATTCTAATGAACTTAAAACCTTAAGGCAGTAGTTCTCAACCTTCCTAATGCCTCGACCCTTTAATACAGTTCCTCAAGGCTTGGCGCCTGTGGCTCAAGTGGCTAAGGTGCCAGCCACATACACCTAAGGTGGCAGATTCGAATCCAGCCCGGGCTCGCCAAAACAACGATGGCTGCAACCAAAAAATAGCTGGGCGTTGTGGCGGGTGCCTGTGGTCCCAGCTACTTGGGAGGCTGAGGCAGGAGACTCGCTTGAGCCCAGGACGAGGGAAAACGCCCCAGGGCCCCGGAGAAACCACCCCCAGGGCACTCTGGGAAAATGCCCCCAGGGCGCCCCAGAGAAGATGCCCCCAGGGCACTAGAGGGAAACCGGCCCCAGGCCCCCAGGGAAAATGCCCCCAGAGAAACCATCCCCAGGGCACTCCAGAGAAGATGCCCCCAGGGCGCTGGAGGGAAAACGGCCCCAGGGCGCTCCGGGAAAACCGGCCCCCAGGGCGCTCTGGGGAAAATGTCCCCAGGGCCCTCAAGGGAAACAAATTGGGAATTAAACTGAAAAGCTTCTGTACAGCTAAGGAGACAACCACCACACACTCTACCCAGGGGGATGGTTTGAGGCTCTGTCTCAAAAAAAAAAATACAGTTCCTCATGTTGTGGTGATCCCCAACCATAGAATTACTTTCACTGCTACTTCATAACTGTAATTTTGCTACTGTTATGAATCATAATATAAATATCTGATATGCAGGATGTATTTTCATTGTTACAAAGGGGTCATGACCCACAGGTTGAGAACTGCTGCCTTAAGTAGTGATTACTCATTGAAAAGATCCAACTGTTTCTATGAAATTATTATCTGAAATAGAGGTTGGGGGTATATTAGGTTGGGAGCTGAATTATGCTTGAATTCTTGCAGGCAAGAAAATTTTCCAAGAAAAACAGAAAGGAAATTTGGTTTCTGAAAAAGCTAATACCTTCTTTAAACCACAATGCTCCTTACGGGGTCACAGATGGCTACTGCAGCCCACAGCAAAGGAAGAGTCCCAAAGCTGTTTCTACATGCTGTGTTCTCCTCTAGTGAGTAACCATATGATATCCCCACCCTTGCTTCCTAACTTTATGGTCCAGAGAAAGGAAGGGAAGCAAACTTACCTAACATTTCTTCTTTCAGTCTTTCATTTCGTTCTTCGATTTGCTTAGGTAATCTCTGAGGAAAAACAGGAGAAACAAAAAGTTGATGAAAAGTCCTTTGCCTTTATTTTGAATTTGGGAAACATTAAAAACCTTGAAAATAAGATCAAGTTAAGTACATATCTATGATCCTATTAAAGAAAGAATCAAGTATTTGTGTTTGTGGGTGAGCTACATAAAGCCAGAAGTTTTGTTTGGCTATATTCCCAGTTTATAACAGAATTCTTGGACCAAAGGAGAGCCTCAATAAAAATCTGGTCACTATATGCAGGAAAAAAAGTTTGAAAGGATCCAGTGATGTTTACAGTGATATATTTAGACGGTGAGATTATGGGTGATACTTATATTTTTAAATTATTTATTTTTTTACTGAAACAGAGTCTCACTTTATTGCCCTCGGTAGAGAGCTATGGTATCATAGCTCACAGCAACCTCAAACTCTTGTGCTCAAGTGATTCTCTTGCCTCAGCCTTCAGAGTAGCTGGGACTATAGATGCCCACTACAATGCCTGGCTAATAATTTTTTGTTGTTGTTTTGTTTTAGTAGGCCCAGGCAGGTTCAAACCCATCATCCCCCATGCATGTGGTCGGCATCCTAACCACTGGGCACAATGCCCAGCCAAATTTTTTTGTTGTTGTTCATTTATATTTTCTAGCTTGAAGACTCTTCTTCTTATTCTTTTTTTGAGACAGTCTCGCTCTTTTGCTCAGGCTAGAGTGGCCTGATATCAGCCTAGCTCACAGCAATCTCAAATTCCTGGATTCAAGCGATCCTCTGCCTCTTTACAGGTGCCTGCAATGGTGCTTGTCTAATATTTTCTATTTTAGTAGAGATGGTCTCATTCTTGCTCACTCTGGTCTCAAACTTGGGAACTCAAGGGATCCTCTCGCTTGGGCCTCCCAGAGTGCTAGGATTACACGTGTGAGCCACTGAGCCTGGCCTTGAAGTCTCTTCTTTACACAATGTAATTAGTTCAGTAAGGGTCAGATCAATCTAGGATATTATTAAATAATCATCTGGCTCAGGTTTTCTGACCCTGCCATTACTGACATTTTGGATTGGATAATTTTCTGTTGTAGGGGGCTGGCTGTCTTGTGTATTACAGGATGTTTGGCAGTACCTCTCACCTCTATTCACTAGATGCCAATAGCACCTTCCCAGCCATGACAATCAAAATGTCTCTAGACTCATCAACCGTTCCTGGGAACCAAAATTAGAGTCTTTTAATTGTCAGTCTTAGCTCTGTAACTGGACCCACATCCTCTGGGATCCTCACTATAAAAAATAAAATGAAGTAACTCACTATAAAAAATAAATAACTAATTCTCTAAAATAATCATCTGGGATTCTCACTATAAAAAATAAATAAAATAACTAATAACTCACTATAAAAAATCAAAATAAAACAAAGATTTATCTCCCCTATTTCAATAAGCTCCTCAAAAACACTGAAATGGAATTTAGTTGTGTAGAGAAAATTATTTAGGATTCACTAAGTAGCAACATGGGGAATAGAAGAAAAAATTATTAAAAAAATTTGGGGTTTTACCATACAAGCTTCTCTTGCTTGATGTATTGATGGATCCTTTTCTAATATAGATTTATAATCTTCTAGGGCTTCATCTAGTTTGTCCGTTTTCTCATACAACTCTGCTCTCCTCAATATTGCCCTGATATAGTTAGGGTTTAACTGAATTGCTGTAAAAAGAGAAGAAATCATTATTAACACAAAGAAAAAGACCTATATTATTTTTGGCTATATCATTTCCTTCATCAACCATCCTTCAAGGGTATGAAAGGAAGACTAGTTTGTCAAAGTCTGTATCTGAGGTTGGCAGAGTGTTTCTGTAACGAGGAAGAGAGTAAAGATTTTCTGCTTTGTGGACTGGACAGAACATCTCTGTCCCAACTACTCAACTACGCTATAGTAGCACAAAAGCAAGCACAGACAACATGTAGACAAGTAATGGGGGTTGTGTTCCAATAAAACTTTATTTATTAACAATGAAATTTGAGTTTCACATTATCATAAGATACTAGTTTTTCTTATGACTTGATTTCTTTTCTTTTCTTCCTTTTTTTTTTTTTTTTTTTTGAGACAGT